GCGGAATGCCGCGCCGCACCGCGCTCCCCCCGCCGTCCTCCCCCTGCCGCCCCTTACCAGGTACCACCCCAAGCATGTGCTTGGGTGCCTGGTGCCTGGAGCTGGCCCTGAGCCACACTCATAAATGGTAAACTGGGCTGTAGGCAGATGGGACTTGTCATGAATCTCTCCTTAAACTCCAGAGACTGGAGAGAATAAAATGTGATTTGAGACGCACCTGGATTTTCCCCATCTACTGTTCTGCAGATGGGTGACATCGTTCAGTTTTGACTGGGCAGCAGGGGACGCTGCCTCCCTGCGCTTGTATCATGAATTGTTTACAATTGAATAAAGTAACTGTTCAATACACATTTGTCTTCAAGAGTCTGGTGCACAGACCATGGTGTTTGAACAGCTGCGTCCTTTCAGATCCCTCATTCAGACCGAGTGGTGGGGGAGGAGTGAGACACAAAATCAGAGGCACCCAAATATACTGATTTAAGTTATAAATTTATGAACCACTTCTCATTGTAATTGCTGGGTATGTAATTGCAGTATGTTTTTTTTAATTACAATTCAATTAACTGATATTACATTTAATGCTGAACATCTCTGCAGAATGATGCCCAGGAATGTCCATCAGAGGTGGCTGCATCACTGTGATTATTACGTATCTGTATTTCTGTAGCCCCTGGGAGGACAGGTTCCGGCCCAGGTCCCCGTTGTGCTGGGCTCTGTACAAACACAGAACACAAAGACGGTCCCGGCTAAGGCGGGAACAATCTCAGTATGAGACAAGAGACAACAGGGGGCTACAGATCGGCCTGTGGGTGTCAGAAGATCGCAATGAGACAACCCTGGCAGAGGGATGGGACATCCATGGCCTCACTGCTGTCAGTTTGTTTGTAGGCATCAAGGGGAAGGGGAGCTGGAAGGAGGGTGGCCAGAGGGGAATGAGTTAGTTCTGGGGTGGGAGGTATCCAGGACACGTGTCCACGTGTGAGGGGCAGCATGGGGGAAGCTGACCTGGCTGCACTGCTGTGGTGGCGGCAGTGACCCCCTCCATGTGCTTGTGATAGAAAATATCTGTGTGCCCAGTGATGCAAAGCTCGTCCATTGTTCTCTACACGTCAGACGTGCTGCGCTAACGTTACGCTAACGACCCCTCCCAGCAGCCCCGTAACGGCCGTTCACAGACCAAAGGCCAAATTCAGAGCTGAGCACCTCTAGCTGTATCCACATGGAACTGACTTCCCCTTCTGCCCCCCGCTGGATTTGGCCCAGTGAGGCTGACTCCGCGGGAATGATCCAAGTTTGTTTCTCTGTCACTGTGAGGGGCCAGGAGGACAGGGGAGTAGCTAGAAAAGCCAGGGACAAGGGGGCACAGGGAGGTACTGTATCATCACCCTCCATTCAGTGTGGATCATGCTTCCCTGTCTGTCCAGAACATGGTGCAGAAACCAAGGACAGGACTTAGAACCCGATTTGTAAAGGGGTTTAGACATCTAAAGCTGTAACACGGCACCTTTAAAAATCTGCCCCTTAGTCCTTTGGCTCAAGATAGAGCATCTCCTGTTCAGCTCTACAGCGCTCCTGTTCAATCCCGGGGGATGGTGACGGGTTGGATCACATAACCCCCCTTTGCAGCTGCCACCCAATGTGCCAAGACTACTTCTACCCCTGCCTTCCCTGACAGCTCAGGACCCCAGCACCCTGTCTTGCTGAGTCAGACATTCGCGTCTGCTCCAACAAAGACCCAGGGTCTGAATTACTTGCCCCAAAGCTGCAGGTTTCACTCAAAGCAGCTAACAGAAGTGTGCCTGTCTTTAACACTCAGATGCCCAACTCCCAGTGGGGTCTAAACCCAAATAAATCCATTTTACCCTGTATAAAGCTTATACAGGGTAAACTCATAAATTGTTCGCCCTCTATAACACTGATAGAGAGATATGCATAGTTGTTTGCTCCCCCAGGTATTAATACATACTCTGAGTTCATTAATAAGTAAAAAGTGATTTTATTAAAAACAGAAAGTAGGATTTAAGTGGTTCCAAGTAGTAACAGACAGAACAAAGTAAGTCACCAAGCAAAATAAAACAAAATGTGCAAATCTATGTCTAATCAAACTGAATACAGATAATCTCACCCTCAGAGATGCTTCAGTAAGTTTTTTCCTCAGACTGGACACCTTCCAGGCCTGAGCACAATTCTTTCCCCTGGTACAGCTCTTGTTCCAGCTCAGGTGGTAGCTAGGGGATTCTTCATGATGGCTCTTCTCCCCCTTTTGTTCTGTTCCACCCCTTTATATATCTTTTGCATAAGGCAGGAATCCTTTGTCCATCTGGATTCCCACCCCCTCCTTCTCAATGGAAAGACACCAGGTTAAAGATGGATTCCAGTTCAGGTGACATGATCACATGTCACAGCAAGACTTCATTGCCCACTTGCCAGCACACACCTATACAGGAAAACTTACAGGTAAACACAGCCATCTGCAGACAATTGTCCTGGTTAATGGGAGTCATCAAGATTCCAAACCACCATTAATGGCCCACACTTTGCATAATTACAATAGGCCCTCAGAGTTATATTTCATATTTCTAGTTTCAGATACAAGAGTGGTACATTTATACGAATAGGATGATCACACTCCGTAGATTATAAGCTTTGTAATGATACCTTACAAGAGACCTTTTGCATGAAGCATATTCCAGTTACATTATATTCACTCATTAGCATATTTTTATAAAACCATAAAGACTGCAACATCACAGTGATAACCTAGCTGACAGTCACTACAGAGTGTTTGGCACCTGTAATATTTATGTTTGAATCGATGCAGGTAGTTGCAATTGCTGCCTACAGACTAAGAAATGATTTGTTCAGAGAGACTAAGTAGTGATCAGATTTATTCTGCTCCATGCGCAGCTTGTAAACATGTGATTCCCCGTAACTAACAATAAACATTTCTCTGAGATCTAGCTCCCTGCACAGGCAGTTAGAGAGAACTGGTCAGTCTGTGTGATGGCACCATCTGGTTGTGTTAAATATATTTAAGGAGTATGTTAAAGTAAGGACCCCTTATAATGATTAATACTAGCAAAATCTGTTTCAAATTGAACTTGAAATAATAATTGAAAATGTAAAAATTTATAGGGAGGTACTTTTTTAAAATAAAAAACGTATTTAAAATAAAGCCTTAACTGGAAGTTATATTTGAAATGTGAGTGTCTTTGTATTTGTTAAAACTCAGGATTAAGATTTTTTTTAAACCAGCAGCCAATGTATAGGGAGTGGATTTGCATGAAGGGGCCGTTCTCCAGCGCTGAGGGTTTAAGAGAGAATCGGAGGGTCCCAGCCACAGACCCGTTTGCCTCAGGGAGCCGAGCTCGTCTGGATTCCCCACCATGGCCTGGGCCCCTCTGCTCCTCGCGCTGCTCACGTACTGCTCAGGTGAGGGAATTGTTTGCCTCAGTGACAAAAATATGAAGGACACTTGCAGGTGAGGAGGTTTGTCTGTGAGGATCCGGAGTCCTTGTGCTGAGTGTGTTTGTAATGTTGATTTCAGGGGTCATTTTGCAGCCCGTGGTGACTCAGGAGCCCTCGATGTCGGTGACCCCAGGAGGGGCTGTCACTCTGTCCTGCAGCCTGAGCACTGCAGCCATCACCAGCAGCAACGCTCCAGGCTGGTTCCAGCAGAAATCTGGCTCTGCTCCTCGGCAGCTTATATACAACACTAATAGCAGACCCTCCGGGATCCCTGCCCGGTTCTCTGGGTCCATATCCGGCAACAACGCTGCCCTGACCATCACCGGTGTCCAGGCAGAGGATGAGGCTGACTATTACTGTGTTGTGTATACGGGTAGCAGTGGTAGTGTAAATCACAGTGATACAGCCAAATGGACAACTGTCTGAGACAAAAAGCTCCCCTGTCTTCGCCCGTCAGCTCCTCCAGCCTGGGCTCTCCACTGGCTGCACAATTTGCTTCCTGCCTGCAACACATAAGACACTAATTGCTCTTTCTTATGAATTTCAGCCACCCCTTGCCATTAGCAGGGGGCGCTGATCCACCACGCCTCAGTCACTCCCCGTGGGGGAGATGTCAGCCGCTCTTACGTTTTCTGCTCCGTCTCTCTAGCAGGAGCAGCTTTTCCTGCTTTATAGATCCCTGTGTTACAGACCCATCACTACCTCTGTCAAACTGGGAGCAGACGGCCACATGCACCTTCAGTAAAGAGACATGTCTCCCCTAACACAGTTCCCCTCTGTTACCTCACCAGCTGGACAACACCCTGAGTGTCCTGGAAGTTAGAGGAAACATAAGAAAGATCTATCAGATCCCTTAGTCCATTCCAGTTGCCGGGGCTGCAAGAAGTGTCCAGATAGAGAGTATATTAGAGAATAGATGATATGAAAAACTCTCCTCCCTAGGACCTCCTCCCTGGCCCCATCCCAGCTGCTTTGCAGCTTCCCTGGTCCCCTCCAGAAGTTCATTAGTGTCTCCATGGCCCCTGCTCCTCCTGGCCCCTGCAGCCCAGCAAGCCACTAGCCCGTGGCCATGTCTAGTTCCCCGTGGGCCAGTCTCGGTGCTCAGGTACCACAGTGACGGGTGCGGCATAAGAACCTCAATAGAAAAGTTCATCTGCTGGCTGCAGAGTTCAGTGTCCCACTGCGGGGAAGGCCGGGGCTGTCCTAGCCAAAGCAGGAATGTTGGTAGCTGTATCCCAAAGCTCCCCCTCCCCTCCATGGAGAGACAGGAGTGTGCCCAGCCGTGGAGCTAGACATTGAATTAAAAGGTCGGATGAACAAGCGGAGGGTCAGCCGACTAAGAGACCTCCCCTGGCCTGTAATTGTAGGCAGAGACTGGCCTAATGTGATGTCCCAGCCCTGTTACAAGATGGGTTCTGCATGGACGAGCTGGCCATAGGATCCTCACTTGAACATGGGCTCTTGGGCCAGGGGCTCAGAGGCAGGGCCGAGGTGCGTGGACTGGATAGCTTGGGGCAGATGTTTGAGAGAGTTGGGCAAGAGACGCCAAGTCGACTGCAGGCCCTGGAGACCCAGTTACAGGCGGCAAACCGAGCGCTGGGGGAGGTGAAAGCCTCATGCCAGACAATAATAGAGGAGGCTGTAAAGCCAGATTGAGAACTGATTCAGACAAGACGAGACCTGGTACAAAAACGACTCTTGGCAGCAACTCGAGCGGGAACTAGCTGCACTGTTCAACTCTCCTGCACCATCAGCAGTGGGTACCCGATCCCACATGCCACCTGGCACCAGCCGAAAATTGGAAATACTCCAAAATATCTTCTGTGGTACAAATCCAATGCTGCCAAGCACCAGGGCACTGGGGTCCCCAGTCGCTTCTCCGGTTCCAAAGTTGCGGCTAATACAACCATCAACCTGACCATCACCGATGTCCCAGCAGACGATAAGGCTGGTATTTACTGTGGCCCAGGGAATCAGGGTGCAGCACAGTGATGCAGCCAGATGGAGAACATGTATCTGACAAGTCACCGGGTGTTCCGAAGTCTGGGCTATCTCTGCATGTGAAATAGTAGCACAGGAGGGGAGTTGGAGGGACATATTAACACACAGCCACATTCGTAAGACAAACTGGACTGTCTGTAGCTGGGAACTACAATGAATCTCTCCTTAAACACCAGTGATGGAAAGAAAAAAATGGGATTTGGGAGGTACTTGGATTTTCCCCATTTACTCTTCTGTAGCTCAGTGACGGGGATCAGTTACGACTGGGCACCAGAGGGCGACGTCTCCCTGCATTTGCACTGTGAACTGTCTACAATGGAATTAAGTAACTGACACATATTTATCTTCACCTGTGCACACAAACTCTACAACAGCAGCCAGTGAGCAGGGCGCTGATTTGCATGAAGGGGCCGTTCTCCAGTGCTGGGGATTTAAGAGAGAATCGGAGGGTTCCAGCCAGAGACCCGTTTGCCTCAGGAAGCCGAGCTCGTGTGGATTCCCCACCATGGCCTGGGCCCCTCTGCTCCTCACGCTGCTCACTTACTGCTCTGGTAAGGGGGAGTATTTCCAATCCCAATTTAATTTAAAGGGACTTTTCACTGAATTTCTCCATATTCCTGATTCCCAGACCCCTGGCTCAGCAGGAAATGTGCAGGCGTTAACTCCAAGCCATGATGATCATGCAGCAGTTTCTCTTTCTTTCCAGGTTCCCTCTCCCAGTTTACTCTGACTCAGCCGCCCTCAGTGTCAGTGTCCATTGGCAACACAGTTAAACTCTCCTGCACCATTAGCAGTGGATACACATTTGGACCTGTCTTCTGGTACCAGCAGAAAGATGGGAACAGTCCAAGATTCCTTCTGAGATACAACACTGACTCTGACAAGCACCAGGGCTCTGGGGTCCCCAGTCGCTTCTCTGGTTCCAAAGACGCCTCTAAGACAACCGGCTACTTAACCGTCACCGGGGTCCAAGCAGAGGATGAGGCTGATTATTACTGTGCTGCAGGGGTTAGTGGTGCTGCACAGTGATTCAGCGAAGTGGGGAACTGAGACAAAAACATCCTCCTCCATCCCTCAGCCTGTGTTGCCCATGAGTTCAGTCTGTGGCAGTGCATTGTGATCATCCAGACGGATGCATTATGGTTTTACTATTCACTCCCCCAGTCTCCAGTCAGGGTAGCTACTATGATTTATCAACCTCTGGACACTTACGGACAAATCTTGGTCCCATTCAACCCCCTGGGAGTTTTGCCGTTCACTTCCATGAGACTAGGATTAGACCCTGTTCATGGTTCTACTGTAGTAATCAGAGTTGATGATAATTTGAAAGACCATGTTCCCGATTACATGCCAGGAGAGGAGGCAGTTGCTGTTTGTTAAATAGCAGCTTGTTCCTCAATGAAAACCCAGTGAGACGTGGAGACTGAGCAGCTGAGTGTTCGATTGCAGATCCAGGGATTTCACACGCAAGCCGAGCCAGGGTAGGAAAGACCAGATCCTGGGCACGATACAACCAGCCCCGGTAAGAGAGGCTGAGCCTGCAAAACGACTGAGTGAAACAAGACGCAGGGCCCACATTGAAGCTACTAAGTAGCACAGAACCCCCCTCTGTCCCGGGGTGTTGCCATGGGCATGTCTGGTGAGTTACTTGCTGTTCCCAAGGCCTTGACCTCACTGAATGGAACATGTTCTCACTGAAGGGGAGTTCACAGTTTTGAAATATTCTAAAGTAAGATTCCAAGCAGCCCTGGGAGTCAAGCTCATTCCCGGCCAGGCGACAGCCGGCCCAAAGGTAGTTTGACTAAGACAAAGGAGCTGTGGGGGAGGAGGCTAGAGGAGTTTTCAAAATCATCCTCTCTTCATGCACCAATGAAATAGGACTTTCCCTTTCACTGGCATCTGGTTCAAGGGGCAGCGACCCCATAAGGGGGCGTTATAGGATGTTCATGTAGCGGGTAACGTGCTGGAACGTGGAGAACTCTGCTTCCAGGTGGCGCGTGACAAGAGAGCACCATGTGTATGAAGGGAGGAAGGAAGCCTGAATGTAGAAGAGAAGCCAGGCTTGCTGTAGGAATTGGCAGCAACTTCCCCATCTGCCCCCAGGTGAGAGAGCCAGAAGCGATGGATATTTTCAGGCTTTGCTGGTGACATGACGGAAGCCCCCTTTCTCCTTACAGGGGCTGGGCCAGTGCTGAGTATGACACTAATCCTGTCGCCAGCTCGCACCCAGGGGCTGAGCTCACAGGCTCAGCAGAGAAGCCACATACTGAGCGGAACACCCCTGTCGCCCCAGAGCTGGTCCAGGGCAGGGTCCCACTAGCGAGGCCGTGTCAGGAGCAGGTGCTGCTGGTCATTCTCTATTAGCTAAAGAGTGGAATTGTCGCCCCCTGGTGGGGTGGCTGGAGTGCTGCGAGACACACAACTGTCCTGCTGAGACACTGCATGGCAGAGAGCCATGTGGACCGTGACTCAGAGACCGGAAATGAGCTTCAGCTTCTAGGCTCTATAGGCTCTAGCACCTGCTGGGTCCTGAGAGCCTCTCCGCCATCCACGGGCAATGTCACGCTCCTCCCAGACCCCCTGCTACACTTCCACCAACCGTCCCCCCATTCGCCGTGGTACCTTCCTGCCTGCATCTGAGACCTGCGGCTGCTCAACAGACCCATCACAGCGGGCGTCGCTGGCCCAGCCGGCAGCCGGCAGCACTGAATTCAGACCACACCCCAACCGCTCCGCAACGTTCCCCCCAGTAATCTGTAAAACAGACAAAGATTCTCTCTCCTCCGTAGCAGAGGTGGCTCAGAATCACGGCCCCACCATTGGGCCTTGCCTGCGGGAAAGGGAATTCACACACACGGCAATTTATAGAAACAACACCGAGCTGGCTTGATGTCGACCTGATCGAAATCTCAGCAACCGGCCTCCTCCCTTTACATACTGTCCCTGTCCGTCGGCCTATCTAGGGTCCGTAAGGCCCATCCTGTTTGGGGTCTGCAAAATAGTAGCCCAGGCTGGCCCTCTCATCCCTGGGGATCTTGATTGTGCTTATGTGAATTCTGTAGTAATGTTTTTTAGGAATGTAAAGAGGGGGAAAAACATGTAAAACAGACCTGTCACCGCCTGGCTGGTATCAGGGAAGATCCCTGCTAGCCAAACGCGAAAAGCTCAGGGCCAATTCCCCGCCCCCGCCCCGCGCTTGGCTAACTGCAGGAAAGGATTTCTTTTCAGCGACAGGCAAACAGCCCAGTAGGAACGGCCACCTCTGTCCCCTTAATTAAATTCCCGTATTTCAACCAGGTTACCATGAGTGATATCACTCTCCTGAGGATTACACAGCGAGATAAAGAATGGCTG